AGCGCAGTGTCTGCAAGTGCAGCAGTTGACACCAGAAACGCAGAAGAAGGTCATGGCTGTACTTCCGCTCTTCCACATTACAGGCTTGGTTCATCAGATGCACTTACCGATTCTCATCAATGCAGAAGTTGTCATGCTTCCACAGTTTTCAATGGAGAAAATGCTAGACGTCATTGTCGAATACCAGTTGAAGGAGCTTCTACTGGTACCCCCAATTATCATCCGGCTAGTCCGCGACCCGCTGGTAGACAAGTACGATCTCAGCCACGTTGTTCGCTTTTCTTCCGGCGCTGCTCCGCTTTCTGAAGAGATCATTCATCAGCTGCAGAAGAAATTCCCGAATACAGGCTTCAAGCAAGGCTATGGAATGACTGAATCCTGCTCTTGCATTACTGCTCATCCGCCTGATAAGTACGATTACAAGTATGCCCACTCTGGAGGCGCCATAGTTGCTTCTACCGAGGTCAAAATCATCAAGGACGACGGGACGGAGGGAGATGTTGGCGAGGATGGTGAAGTGCTTGCTCGCGGACCCCAGGTAGTGATGGGATACCTCAACAACGAAAAGGCTACCCGGGAAACATTTGACGCAGACGGCTTTTTACACACGGGCGATCGCGGATCTATCAGCGAGGAAGGCATGATTTACATCTCTGACCGCATCAAAGAACTCATCAAAGTCAAGGGCATCGGCGTTGCTCCAGCCGAGCTAGAAGACTTGCTTCTTGGTCACCCTAAAGTCGAGGATGTTGCTGTCATGAGCATAAAAGACGACTACTCGGGAGAGCTGCCAAAAGCTTACGTAGTGCTCAAGCCTGGCATACAGGAGAGTACGGCGGTAGGTAAAGAAATCATCGCTTTCGTCAAGGAGAAGAAGGTTAGGTACAAATGGGTCAAGGAGGTTGAGTTTATTAGTGAGATACCGAAGAGTCCTTCTGGAAAGATTTTGAGAAGAGTGTTGCGCGACAAGGAAAAGGATGGCAAGTTTGGCCTTGTTGTTAGAGACGAGGTCAAGGCTAGATTGTAGATTAGAAAGTCAGATATAGTTCTGGGGTAATCTGATGGATGAGATCAACCCTTTTATAGGAAGGTTCGAACTATGTGCTTGCTCAATCGTCTGGTCCGTCCGCGGGGCCGGTGCCTGGCTTCATCGAGGGACAGCACGGATCACGGCAACACTGTTGTATATCGCGTTTGGTTATCATATACCCGGTACGCGCCGCCATTCGATTGGGAACTCTGGTGTAAAGTATCGAAAGCCTCCGCGTCAGCAAATGCATGATAGCAGGAGACACCCCGGGTAGTGGCAAAAGCACTACCGCAATGCAGAAAAGGCTCCGGGTATTAGTCGGAGAGGCGCAAGAGAAAGACCGATTTACGGAACGCTAATCGACGCGCTTGTCACCCATCAGGAAGGAGAACGTATGGGTTTAAGCTTTTTTGGTCCTCGGCATCAAGGACTTGTCGAAAGCTTATCTCTTTCACCAATAATAACTACACGTGCGGTCTAATGCTGTCCCTCCGTTCGGCGCGGCACAAGGCGCGCCACTGGCTCAGTGTGCATACGCTTCCATCCCATGCCGGAACGTATGTATAATAGGCCGTCCTTGCTACCTAGCATCCAATACTGGTATCCAAATGCCTCTAACAATGCGATATCTTACATTTAGTGCAATCGTAGCACTCATCGCTTCAGCTTCAGCTTGCGAGGGCGACCACAGTTGCTATGGGGCGCTAAAAGACGATGTTGTTCTGACTAGGAATGTCCGCCGAATGCAACCCGACGCACAAAATGCGACCACGACTCCAAGAGGCCCTCTGGAATGGGGCCAGATCAACTTTCTGCATACCACCGACACCCATGGTTGGCTCGAGGGGCATATCAAGGAACAAAACTACGGCGCCGACTGGGGCGACTACGTCAGCTTCACAAAACACATGAGGCAGAAAGCTCGTAAACTTGGAGTTGATCTGCTTCTAGTCGACACAGGGGTTAGTGTCTGCTATAAAGGCCCTGGGGACGAGGCGGGCTGCACGTACGCGGAGAAAAAAAAATGTAACCTTGCTAACGCTGGAGTAGGACTTGCATGATGGGGCCGGGCTTAGCGATGCGACGACGCCCAACGGCAAGGTCTCGAATGTGATCTTTGAAAATGTCGACTATGATATATTGACTATCGGTAATCACGAGCTTTATGTCACTGAGATTGCCTACGAGACTTTTAGCGGCTTTGCCAAAGCATATGGCGACAGGTATCTTACTAGCAATGTCCAAATCATTAACCCAGCCACCGGCCAATTTGAGTATATCGGGGCTCAATATCGTTATTTCACTACTGAACAGGGTACGACAAAAGAGACATGACTTTGAGAAACAAGCTAATTGTTTGTAGGTCTCCGCATCATGGCTTTTGGTGTGCTTTTTGACTTTACTGGCAACAGCAATGTTTCCAAGGTCATTAAAGCTGCGGATATGGTTAAAGAGGAATGGTTTCAGCAAGCTGTTAATTTCAGCAAGCCAGTTGATTTGTTCGTGGTCACTGGTCACAATCCTGTACGAACCAATGTCTCCACTAGCACTATGGGAACTGTGTTCAAGGCCATTCGAAGCATCAAGAAAGATGTGCCAATTCAATTTTTCGGAGGCCATACGCACATTCGCGACTTTGCAGTCTATGATGAAAAAGCCACCGGCCTTGAGTCTGGTAAGTGATACCCAATTTCACTGACTGCATTGACCTGACAAATCGCCCAGGTCGTTACTGCGAGACTCTAGGGTGGCTCGCAATGTCTGGTATCAAGTCATCCACTGGCAAAGCACCAAGCAACCCCAAAGGTGTACCAAACCCATCTCGCGTCGCATCATCGCAAGTCACCATTGAAAAGTCTGCTTTTAACAATCCAGTTCGCTATGCACGGAGGTACCTTGATTGGAACCGGAACACTTTCGCATACCATGCCGAGGGAAGCCAGCCGTACACTTCATTCAACACCCCTGAAGGCCTCAAAATCTCGTCAGAAATTACTTCCGCTCGAACTAAGCTCAATTTGACTAATCTCTACGGTTGCGCACCGGAAACATACTGCCAATACTGTAAGCCGTTTTTGGCTGAAGGTAACATCTTCAAGCTTCTCCAAACCGCACTAGCTACGACCGTCGTGAACGAGACCCGAAAAGATATTCCTCGACTGATCATAATCAATACCGGTAGCGTCCGCTTCGATCTTGCCCAAGGGCCTTTCACGTACGACGACTCCTTCATCGTTTCCCCATTCACAGATGCTTTCCAATACATTCCAAATGTGCCCTACGAACAGGCATCGCAGGTCCTCGATATCCTTAATGCTGGTCCCTTTCAGAAGAAGAAGCGAAACCTTGAGACATCCGATTTTGGATTCAGTCCCGTCCTTGCAGACCGCGATACATGTATCGACCCGCCACTCACCCACAGCTATGAGGGCCGTACCCGTCGCTCAAAGCAAGGCGGTCGGCTAATCCGCCGTCAATCTACTGCTCTCACACCCGGATACACCACAACGGATGATTTCGGCACCGACGGAGACGATACCGTGCACTCGCCCATCCCCAACTACCCTCAACCCAACGATCTCCAAGCCAACGCATCTTTCCCGCTTGACGGCTCCATGCCAAACAGCGTCGATCTCATCTTCTTAGATTTCATCGCAGATTACATTATCAGTGCTCTCAATCAACCACAAGTCGGTGGCAACTTCTCGCTGGACCAAGTCGAGTACTATCTCGATAAGACGTTCACGACGAACAGCTATTTGCCTGCATATGCAAAGATTGCGTGGCAGAAGAATGTGCCTAATTGTCCCGTAGGCAAAGGAATCGGTACGTCGTAAGGAGAAAGAGTGAAGTGATCTGGGCAGCGGACGGAGTACACAGAAGGGGAGGGGTATTTAATGGTATCTGCAATGTAGAAAACGAAACTGACGGTAACGAATAAGCTGGGGTAGAGTGTAAATACTGTACTAAGACATAAATTCGAGTTTTCGGTGCGTAGTTCAATCAAACCTACGTAACGGCGTTTCTTGTCAGGAGATGCACGTTTTTACTAGCTTTCGAAACCTCTAACTCTTGTTAACTTTGGTTATTCTGAGATGATGGGAATCTCCTTCTTAAACTAGCACGGGTTACGTTAGCCGATGCTAAAATTTGCTTAGCATTCACACTATCTAGACTGGCTGGCATTGGGTAGCCGGATGAGCTAGGAAAGTAGGTAACAGCGTGTGTTCGCTGAAACAATAGTTTAAGCCCAATACGATCTTGGCAATGAATTTATATCGTCTATTATTTGAGCATCTAAGAAGCCAAATCCTTGATTTTTATGCGCGGGCTGAAGGTCAGTATATGTCTTTTTACATGTATCCTTTTGTTGCTTTGCATATTGCGCCTAGGTGATGGCTTCGTGCCTTGTATAGTCGCTCTCGCTCCCCATCGCATATTCAACTTGTTCAATTTTTTTGTTTTCATTTGATTCATGTGTTCAATATCCTCTCAGCTTGCACTGTGTATGGAGCAATGTACTTCAGACTCGGCAGAATTCCTGCCGCGGCTGGCCTGCGCCTTCTACTTACGTGCGTAGTACGTAGTGTAGTATGCATCCCATAAACGCACAGACCATATCACAGGCAGACATTCAGCCCCAGCCTTCCTCAACTTTGGCCATCAGGGGGTTTTTCTGATTGCCTCAACCTCTCTCGATGATATATACAATCAAGAGAACCGTTCTTGTCTTACAATTTTTTGCTGCTCTGTTTCCGATAACATGGAGAATGCAACACTTGTCTTTGGTGTTGGTCAAGGAGCTGTAATCCTCTTCTCGGCAGCGCGACAATGAATTCGTTACTTGTCGAGTATTGTTTTCTTCATAAAATACTATGGGATTAGTGGATTGGTATTATGCTTCTTCGGTAACCGCGACATGTGGCGCATTCAAGTACAGGTCTTATGAAGCACGAGCGACATCGACGCCATGAACTTCCGAAAGTCAGCGCAGGAGGAATGCAGCATAATAGCTGTGGCTGTGCGTACATGTGTTCGGTCCCGGGAAGCTAGGTACCAGGAACTGACTACTAGCCTTTTAGAGCACTATTCTAGCACAGATTGCTATTACGGCACTCTCTTTGGAAAACCTTGACCGAACACCCTGGGTTGCCCGAGGGTTCTTTACCTTCAGCCTCGTCTCATCAATCATCGCTGTTTACTACGCCACAAGACAGTACTGTCATCTGGGCAGATTCATTTATGCCAATGACGTACGGGCATGGATTCGTGGGCACAGTATTTTGGATGGGGATCTATACCCACGCAAGGCATTGGCAGTTGCTCATTTTAACAGCGACTCAGCCTTTCGAGTAGTGGGAGCAGATGTACCTTCGGTTGCCTCAGTTTTGACTATTGCAGCCCCTACTATGCTTCTCAACGCTTCTCTTAACGCTTTCCTCTTGGGACTTGGCATCTACCTTGGCTTCGTTTGGACATGGGATCTGAACGAAACTGCGGGGGCATCAAGCAGTCGAGCAGTATTCATTATATATATGGTTGATTTGGTGGTATGCTACTGGGTCTACGCAATATCTAACGTTATTGTAGCCGACCAGAGCTACGTCAGCGAAGCAGAGTTGCTAGGAGAGAAAGATGCTCTTCAATCTTTCTTTGGGCTACGGAACAAAGATGAGGAAAGTGCAGGAGGTAGTAGGAGGCCTTCTGCCGCTCAACATGTTTCCTCTCAAGAAGTACCATCCGGCACGACGGGAAGGGCAAGCACATCTACAACACCACCTGGAGAACCATATCAAGAACAAACAAATGAAAGCAATGCCACTAAGAGCCTATCTGTTGAGGGAGAGCTTGTGCGAGTTCTCCAAGAAGCAGCCAGACTCCGCACAGAGTCTGCCAAATTTGATGAGCGTATGGCTCAACTTCTGGAGAAACTTGCAAAAGGTAGTGAAGAGTAGTTATGGTCCAATATGAAGAGAAGGTCCGTTTTCATCCTCATGTGTGTCTGATAGCCTTGGCAGGTGATGGAATTACTTCAAGTCTACGGCTTTGTATGTATACGTATGTCGTTGGTTCGTATAAGAGAGTATGGATTTATAATGAATCTGATGGTAGTGTTATGTGGCATTAGAACATCAATGGTTTCAATGTCCGGCTCAGCCTCGGTGTGGATTACAAATGACGTGTGTGGGGTCGGCGTTGTGCCCCTCCGACAGGGTCCCTGACAAAAAAGTTCGCCGCCAAAGGCGCAAATTGGCATTTCTAAGCAACGCAAGACGAAGACTCATATATAATCTTCTAGGGTACACAGAGAGGCCAGCAAGATACACTCCCCACCCCACCGATTAAAAGCAAAAAAAGTCTGCGCAATGGCTGTTCCCAACCCCACTTCAAATCAGCCCCAGCACGAGGAGGAGGATATCGATGTACACGATGTGGACAATACAATCGACGCCGATGAGGCAGAGGAGATTCTGGAAGATGACGGCGATGTACCCATGGAATCGGACGATGATGACGAGGAAGGACGCCAGGAGGCCGAGATGGAAATCAATCTACAGAACGACTCAGTTGCGCATTTTGACCAGCACAAGGACAGCATCTTCTGCATAGCGCAGCACCCGGTAAACCGCGATATCATCGCCACAGGAGGCGGCGACGATGTAGGCTACATCATTGATGTGTCGGCAGCAGCAGCAGCAGCGCAACCGAGCAGCGACGGCCAACCCACCGAGCGCGAAGGGTTGAAGAGCATATTCACACTAGACGGACACACAGACTCAGTCAATGCTATCGCCTTTACTGCGCCCAAAGGCCAGTTTGTGGCTACTGCAGGTCTAGATGGCAGGCTGCGTGTGTGGCAGGGAGTGCCTGACGGCAAGAAATGGAAGTTCCTAGCCGAAGCACAAGAGGTGGAGGAAATCAACTGGCTAGTCTCGAACCCTTCGCCCGACCACCCCAACGTGGTGGCGCTTGGAGCCAACGATGGTTCAGTATGGGTGTACCAGATCAGCACAGACAAGGGCAACGAGCTACAAGTCCTGCAAGCATACTATCTTCATACCGAGTCGTGCACAGCCGGTACATGGTCGCCTGACGGCGCATTGCTTGCGACCATCTCTGAAGACTCGAGTCTATATGTCTGGGACGTGTTTGGTGATGCAGCATCACAAGGTCTGACTGCGACAACCGACTCGCAAGCTGTTGTCGGTCTCACAGGCAACGACGAGCGCTTCCGCGTTGAGGGTGGTCTCTACTCTGTCGGCATCGCACCATCAGGTGCATTCGTGGCTGTTGGTGGTCCTGAAGGTCAGATCCGCATCGTTGGCTTGCCCCGTCTTTCTCTCGCCGGAGCGGCACAAGCATCAACATCATCTGGCGGAGGAGGCGCAAAGAACAAAGCTGGAGGTGGCAAGCAAGCTGGTGCTAAAGGAGGCGCATCATCGTCCGGTCAGGCTGGACAAATCCTGGCTAGTTTGCAGGCAGGAAGTGACAACGTTGAATGTCTGAGCTTCTCTACGGCACCACTTACGCTCATGGCTGCCGGTAACGTGGACGGTTCCATTACTCTGTTTGATACCGCACATCGCTTTGCGGTTCGAAGGCGGATAGAAGACGCGCACGCAGACGAAGAGTCACCACAAGCCGTTGTCAAGCTGGAGTTTGTTGCAAAGGAAGGACCGGGAGGATGGTTGTTGACCAGCGCGGGATACGATGGTGTTTTGAGGCGCTGGGATACACGGGGCGGAACCGCCGCGGCTGGCAAGGGTCTCGTGGGCGAGTGGAGGGGACACAGGGGTGGAGGTGAGGGGGGTGGTATAATGGGTTTTGTTCAAGGAGATGGTGAGGCGGTTGTCACAGCTGGTGACGACCACGTCGCACTCGTCTTCAAGACGCCTCTCTCCGGATGAACGGGGGGGTTTTTTTTATTGGCGTCTGATACGAGAAACGTTGAGACGAACAAAACTTTGCATTGTACAGTATCAAAGACGAAAGATGAATTTGTTGTTGGGCTGTGTTGCCTCATACCAAGCACGCCCCCAACCCCTCCAACGTGAGCAAACACACAAACGTCCATGAGTGAAGGCCATCAGCCAGTTGTTTTGTCGCAGCACCGGTTAAATCCCCACCATCATCAACACCTTTTGCGCAAACTTGCTCGATTGGGATGGTTCTCGGTGCCATGTTAGTGGTTAGGGCCCATGGCTGCTATCGGACCGCGCTCCTCAGCATTCTCATTGGGCCCATGTCACCACACGTGGCTCCAGAGATCCGATACATGTCGGAGCTGATTGTTTTTACTTTTTTTTCTTCTTTTGCCCATGTCACCCGCTGCTACATGGGGTTTCAGAACTTCTTGGTGGGTGTTACTCAATGCTTGAACAGTGTCTTTTGGGAGGGGGAGGGGAACCGAAGGCTAGTTGCGTACAAGGGATTCGAACATGACGAGACGTATGGCCTGAATGAGGTGCTTGCAGCCAGGCAGCCTCAATGCATCATCGCCGTCTCGACATGGATGAAGATCAGGATGAGAGGAATCACGATATGATGCGTCTTTTGCCCTGCAAATCTCTTTTCTCCCTTTGTCTCCACTATTACGGCCTCTTTACAGGTTATATCCATCTCTTCGCAGCAAACGCCACCAAGGTCATTTGCGATCCACAGGTACCGTACCCCCATATTGTTATCTTGGGCATACACCTGGGGGCAGTCAGAAAGTCGATATGATCGCCACTCTCTCTTTCTGGCTACCTTGATGCTATTGGATGCGGCTCAAATGGCCGAAGGTTTGTTGTTTCCCAAGTCGTGGTACCATACCAACCCCCTTGTTTCCGCGGCCCCTCCTCCCTCCCTTCCCTTTCCTTGTTGCAAAACATGACAGAGCCGTTGCGGCCACCGGCATCAGACAGGCCCCGAAGCCAAAAAAAATGGTACACAGCTATCTCAAACGCGTGAGTCTGTAGCGCCGTTGCGGGTCTCCCCAGAATCTGGCCAGACTGACGTCACATCGTCTGATAGCCCACAATTCAGTTGCATACCGTCAATCCATCTCCTTCCCTCTCTCTTGAACCTTTTCTGCTTACGTATGCGCAGTTTCCCCACTTATTCCCTTTTGGCTTCGTAAGTGATCCTCAGGGTCTTCGCAGCTGTGTGCGAGTGTGACCTTGCTTTCCCGCCCAACCACTACAACACCAGGCATGCGGCCTAGAGAAAGGTTGAGCCGGGTTCCTCCCCGATTGGAACAAGAGAAAGAGAAGGCCCGAGAGGTTACATAAGTGACATGGTGGGCGCCTAAGCACAGGCGGTTCACTCGGTATCAGATTTGGACATGGGGTTTCTGGTTGGGCAGCATGGGATAGTGGGGGGATTGGAATTGGCCGTTATGCAAGTGTGGGTGAGAGAGAGAGTGCCCATGATGCAGCCTTTGGACAAAGGTCGTTGGCTATCAGGCAAAGTTCGCCGCAGCCTATCACACGTCGCCCGCTTACTTGGATTTGCCGGCCCCGACGTTTTTTTCCCTTTCCTGTTCTTGCTCCCGCGACCTTGCGGTGTTCTGTTCCGTGGTCCAGAACCAGACGTTGGGTCCCGCTATTCTGTTACGCACGCGCTTGCGGACCCGGATATGACAGGCATGGCTTGGCTAGGCAGCTCCAAAAGTGGGCCTTTACAAGACAATCATTTGGAGTAGATTGGGGTTTTTCCGCGGGCACTTCTGCACGGGAACGCTACGCCCGCTGTCTACCATGATACGTTGCAAGGCCCCTGGTCACAACTCAGCACGCGCTACATGCTTTTGCGATTGCGCAAAGAAGAACCATGGTACTCACATAGAGCACAGAACATGCTGTCAGCCACCTAGCTTGGAGATTTCGATTCGACATGCATAGGAGATAACACTAAGACGACTCAAAGGCTTTGGCGTTGCACTTACCGCAGCCGCCTTATGCATTCCCTCAGCTTACCCTTACGTAAGTATGCACGTATTTTGGGGAACATCCCCCCTCGTTTGCCAACGTAGCCTCCGTTCCCACACGTTTGGTAGACGGGCAGGCGTACCGAGCTGGTCCTTTACCCGTCATGGTAGCAAAGTCACCGATGTCGTTCCTGAAGTACGTCATCTCCCATATTCCACTTTCCTATTTTCTCTTCCTTTTCCCTTGCAAAAAAAGAATTACTCGCCTGAGGAATCTCTCCGAGTGGGTCATGATGAACACATCCGAGCAAGGGGGTTGTTCACAAGAGGAAGAGAGGAAGCAGTAGATACCTTTCTAGTGGGACCCATGTCGGTTGATCGACCTTGGCTGAGTACTGTAAACCCGAGTCCAGCGAACAAGAAATTCATCACACAATTGAGTCTCTGCTTAGCGATCGGGACAATATGCCGCAGCCATTAGCAGATTGCCGACTGTCGATTTCGAGGCGAGTACAGGTGTAATTAGTCCCCGCTTTGCGCAAGACCGTTGCGTGTGTAAGTGTAGTGTAAGAGTATGTATCCTTTGGCCTTGAATTTTTCTCAAAGAAGAATGACCAGGGACATGCTCAAAAAGTGTATAGTCAAAACATAAGAGAGAGAAAGAACCGGAGAGAAAGAAAAAGAAGCTTCAATTCCATGATCAAACAACCCCTCCATTGAGGAACAAAGAAACCGTTAGAAGAAAACTACGGACTCCAACACACCAAGCACATGTGTCATTGATTGGTCTCATTGGGGCTCTCCTGCATATAGTAGCCTCCCCCGCAATTCTTAGAGGCGAAGCGAGAGAGAGAGAGAGAGAAACAGAGAGTGACATACCCTCCCTGCCCCATCGTGTCCTGTGGAAATAAGAAAACAAAAACAAAAAAAATGGTCACACACTTGTCATAGTAGACCACTTTGGCCAAATTTCTCTCGTATAGCTACGCAATGTATACATAGTAAGTACCAAGAAGGGAAGGTGGAAAGCGAGGGTTTATGGTGGAAGGGAGAGGGGACCCTCTGTTTGTTCGGACGAGTTCTCCATTAGCCAATAAGGATGATGGGTTGTTGCGTCATCTTGCCTGTCAAAATCTCCAAAAAAGGGTCAACGGGGGCGGGGGGAAGGGGGAGGGTGGGAAAGAGAAGTGGAGAAGGGGTCTGGTTGGTGGCAGGTGTGATGAGTGACACATGGGCAACGACAAAAATATGTGGGGACGCGCGAAAGATTAAGGTTATTGCATGCTTGCTGCGCGCCAAAGCGGGGACTAGGCTTAGCTGTTGTTTTTTTTGGGATTGACGCAAGCAGTGGGCATTGGTTACAGGTAAAGGGTCTGTCTAGGGCGGAAAGTTCCGAGCAGCCAAAAGTGTGGTGTGGACAAGTCAGAGAGCAAGAGCAAAGTGCGTGTGAGTGATTGCGTATGTGCATGTAACATATATGCCATTGTGACTATCTAAAGAAAAGAGCGATGATCGTCATCAATAGCTCTTTTTTTGGGAGGTTTGTATGTATGTATGCTAATCATACAGTCGGATATGCATTAGTCAAACGCCTTTTTCGCAGCCATGGCTCAAACGCCAGTTCGTCAGTCATCGGTGCTGTCCGCCGGAGTCTCCAGCCGTGGCCAATCATGCGGGGCATATGTAGAAGGATCAACAAAGACAAGAAAAATAATACAGCTTTTTTGATTGCTCAAAGCACGGCAAAAACCCGGGGTATCGTAAGAATTGTGGAAAGAGAAGTAGAAGCGGCGACAATCGCTGACGTGCTCGCGTACCAGAAAGCGGGTCCAAAGCGGACGCAACGGTATTGCGCCAGATGTAGAAGGGTCTTGATAGCAAGGGCAGCTGAGCTGGCTTTCTACATTCCCATATCATCCATGTCCTCGTCGGTAAAGTCCTTGAGTAGCTCGAGCCCACCGAGATCGTCGGTATCTGCTGAAGTCATCGAGGTCATACTGCGCTCACGGGTATGCTGGCCAGTGAGGTGGGAGACGGAAATAGCGGGGCTTTGGTGGGGGCTCTTGGGATGTGATATTGAGTGGCGCATCTCTGACGCAGGAACTTCCATACCAAGAAGGCCACCAGCACATCGGGCGAGGTATTCGTCAACAGCCCAGAAGCCACAGCCGGCGTGACGCAAGACTTCATTCTTGAGACTGAGGACCTCTTCGCGGAGCAGGGCAACGTTTTCCTTGAGCATCTTGTTCTTTGCGGAGAATTCTCGGGCTCGGCCTTCGAGACTGTTGATGTACTCCTTTTTGCGCTGCCTGCACTTGTGTGCAGCGACGCGGTTCTTCTCGAGATGATTCTGGCGAGCCGATGAGACTTGGAAGGGATAGCCGTCAGCGGTGTAGGCCTCGACCATTTGGGGCTGAGATTTGGGCCTACCCCGCTTGCGCTTGGGTGGCTGCGGGTTGGCTTCAACGGTTTCTTGCTGAGGTGGTACAGGTGCACTTGGCAGCATTGCAGCATCCTGATTGGTAAGCGTCTGCCTGGTGGTACGACGTCGCTTTGGTGAAGGCTCTTCTGGCGGGGTCATTTGCAGTGAGGCGGGTTCCTTTTTGGGCCAAGGCGTCGTCTCATTACGAAGCTGCTCGACAGGGATGGAACTTTCGCGGTCATGGCGAAGAGGGTGAGTGGGAGAGTATTCCTCGGGTGGAGTGACTTGGCCATACCGCTCCAGGGCAGCGTGAGTGAGGAGGGAAGGAGGAATGGAGAAGGCTTGTGTGGGCATTGTAGCAGTGTTGCTAAAGGCCGTGGACCACTTGTCATGGTGTTGATTGCTCATGCCTGGTGGATGGAGGGCAGTGAAGGCATCGCCAGCCCAGTCAAGATGGGGCTGCTGGATCTCCGTCATGGCGAAGGGCAATTGCTGTTGTGTAGAGTGTATGTGTGTGTGTGTGTGTGTGTGTGTGTGTGTGAAGGGCAGCAGTGTTGTGGAGTAAGGTGCTGCGGGAGGGGCAAGTTGAGTTGAATTGAGTGCTTGGGAAGACGGGTAGTTATACGTGCTGGTTATGGAAGGAGCAGGCAAGGACAGGCTCGGGAGAAAAGGCCGTGGCGATGATGTCGGCAGAGCAGGCTGTGGGGGAGTCGGAGGGGCAGGGAGTAGACAAAGGGTACAGCCAAAAGGCGACGGAGCCGGGGCGAGGGACTGATATGGGAATTGGACAATTGGGGGGTTTGGTAACATGCGGAACTTGCGAAAGCGATAGCAGGGGGACTTGGTGCTGTTTGCACCGGGCCGGGGCATGATTGGGTGTCTGTGCGGCGGGTGACGTAGCGGGAGAGGGCGATCGACGATGCCGGGGGCCATCGCGATTGCCAGTCGCCACGCCTGCGACGCCTGCGACACCTGCGACTGCCCCGAAGCCGGTTCCTCTCGGCACCGCGCGCCTCTGCCTGCCCTCTGTGGCTGCCCTGCCTGCCTGTGCTGTGGCTTGTCACCACCACCACACACCACATGCTTACCTAAGGCAGCCAGGCAGCCAGGCAGCCAATTCACCCGCAGAGTGCCATTGACGTCTCCCCGCACACTGCAGTCACAGTGTCCACGGCATATGTGCACATTCATCCATGCAGCACGAGGACACCTATGCACTCTACCACAGTGCAACCCCCCCTCCCCATTCATCTCCAGACACGGTGGCCCCCCTCCCCCAGCTTCCGCGGAACACCGCACGCACACACGCACACGCACACACCTGCCTTGCTCACTGTGGTCGAGGCCAGAGCAGCGCGCCCTCTGCCCTCTGCCCTGCACAATGGGCCAATACAGCCCGGCCATCCTGCCGCTGCTCTCGGCCCGTCAATTCCTCACTACTGCTGCCCGTGTCCGCCTCCTGCTCACCACGCGTCTCTGCCCAAGGTTTGGCGCCACCAATCTCACTTGTCCTCGCGGCAGGCCAACTAGAGTACAACGGGTGAAGACACGGCACGCACATGGTCCACTAGAGAGAGAGGGGCTCCACGCTACCTCTGCTCCACACACACATACTCTCTCTCTCTCACCCATGCCCACTGTAACACCAAGTGCCTGCTATGCCCAACATGTTTGGTGCGCCCATTGTGCATGTGCTTAGGCCTGAAATATACCACCCTGCTACGTCCATGCTCGACTTTAAACGCACTCGCCTACCCCTTCGCTTCGCAGCATCAGTCTGGACAAACTGCGCGCCGCGGGCAGTGAAAAAAGCCATCCTTTTGCTGCACAAGAAAAAGGCGCACGGCACCACCACCGACATTAAGCGGAATCCCGTTCGCAATCCGTGACCTTGATAAGTGCATTCACACAACACTGCGCTTGCAAGCGATCGGCCACGCCCATGTGCTAGGGCTGTAGGTTGTGCCAATTGATAGCCGAGGTCAAAGTCCCATCGCCGGGCAGGTGGCGGGATCGGGAGGGGCTGATCGAAAAGTTGGGCGGCCACCATGGGAAAGTGGGCAAAATCCCATTCTGTGCTTGCAAATCCGATCGCAGCCCTCGTGCGCTTACCGCCTCCGCCCCCCGTCCACATTGCATCACCGCGCATTGCACGCGGGAAAGAAAAAACGGCAACCCCACCTGCATCCAGCCATCCCACCGCTACTCCAACCTACGAACTGGTCCCAAGTAAATTGGACAAAGGGTAGCACAAGGTCACGTCTGCCTCCATGTCAGCCACGTTGCTGGCCTGTACGCGACCTGCACGACCTCTGATGTAGGCGTCATATATCTACGTGTTTGCATCTTCTTGCCTGATTCCGATACTCTCACAGCCAAGAGCCACGAGACAGTCGCCCCATGCCGTAGCCTGGCAGAGGGCATTGTGAAGCTATGCTGGGAAAAGAAAATCTTCGGCCGTTGCTCCTGCTCCTTCCACCGAACCAGCATCCACAAAATACCTCCGAGGTAGCTCCGTCACCCGCACCTTCCCCGCCACCCTGATACTCCACTCTGCTCTACTCTACTCTACTCTAAACATGCCTAAGAAGTCTATCACTTAGTTTGCCACAATTGCACTCACGCTCTCCCTCCACTGTACGCTTGTTGAGATTGCTCCAAGTTCTTTCCATTCAACACGCACAATACCCGCAACTACGTCTGCCCATGTTCCCCAATGGCGCTGCGGCACATAATTGGTGGCGGAAGTGGAACATTTCGACCGGGATAAACGAGCGTGCCATTCCTTGAAGAGTGATGGTCAAAGAACCCACCACTGACAACAAGCTGCCACCACCATGATCGGAACAAGCCTGATGACTACTATTTGAAGTGTCATGTGCGGGTTCAAGGTCGCTAGAAGACAGGGACAAGATCACCTCGCATGGCATTTTGCTTGGATGCAGATGCAGGGTAGGTGGATACAACGGTGCCAAGAGGCCAGTCATGGTTTAAGAATGCAGAGAAATGCTGCTTCTAGCTCGTCCATTTTCTCTTAACTTATATATCATCACGATATCTGCCTTGTTGCTTAGTGTTGCGACTACCAGGCTGCGGCACGTAACCATCTCTTCATATACAACCCTGTAGGGGAATTTGTTGCTAAAATCAATCAACCAGTGGGCTGAGCACCACGGACATAAGAGCATGATTGATACTTGAACAACCAGTACCTAGCCAATACTTTTCTTCCTCGAATGCTACTAGGTCACTGCAGTCACCGCACAAGCCTTGACACACCCGGTTCACTCGCTCTCAATTTCATTGCTGGTCGTACAAGGCCCTGACTTGGTTTGCTTCTCGATCAAGAAAACTTGCATCTCTCCAGAAAATGGGTAACTTGACGCAAATGCATAGTTTGCAACAAGGCCATTTCTGGTTGCCCTCATCAACAACGTGTTGGAGCCCAAATCGCTCTAGCGTGGGCGATCATCTCTTGGCAAGAAAGCGCGACGCGCACCGCGTCGCCGGCGCAACATTGGTTAGACGATTCCCCATTCACACTCACCACCACCACCACCACCACCACCACCACGGCCCCACTATGTGCTGAAGAGCACCAGCGCGATCGCACTCATAAATACACGCGACCGCAAGTCTCCCTCGCCCGCGCGCCGTAACCGCAACCAACCGCCGCCATGGGTTACATCAAACAAATCACCATCCAGGGCTTTAAGAGCTACAAGGAGCAGATGCAAATCGAGCCCTTCTCGCCCAACTGCAATGTCGTCGTCGGTCGCAATGGTTCCGGAAAGAGCAACTTCTTCGCCGCCGTCCGATTCGTCCTGGGAGATGACTACCACAATCTCGGTCGTGAAGAGCGCCAGGCATTGCTGCACGAGGGTTCTGGTTCAGCCGTCATGTCCGCGTACGTCGAAGTCTGCTTCGACAACACAGAAGATCGCTTCCAGACTGGCAAACCCGAATTCTACCTGCGTCGAACAATTGGTGCCAAAAAAGATGAATACTCGGTCAACCGCAAGAACGCCACCAAGTCAGAGGTCATGCAGATTCTTGAATCTGCTGGTTTTTCGCGATCAAACCCTTACTACATTGTCCCTCAAGGCCGTGTAACAGCACTCACCAACATGAAGGACTCTGAGCGTCTCAAACTACTCAAGGAAATCTCCGGATCCAACGTATACGAAGAGCGCCGTGCAAACAGTTTGAAGCTGCTCGCCGACACCGACAGCAAATGTGCCAACATTGACGGGGTTGTGGCCACCATTAATGAGCGCTTGGACGAGTTGGAAGGCGAAAAAGAAGAGCTTGAGGCTTGGAGCCGAAATGACAAGGAGCGGCGCTCTTTGATGTACACGCTCAAGTCGCGTGAAGAAGCCGACCTCGAGGCCTTGATTGAGAACATTGACCATCTCGAAAACCAGGGCCGTGAGATGAAAGAGACCAACGAAGCAGCCTTTGTGCAGACCGAAGCCGAAATCGCACAAATCGACATGGATATCAACAAGCGGAGAGGCGATCTAGACGTCTTGAGAGAAGACCGGGTGCAGTCTGAACAGGAGCGCAAATCAGCTACACTGGAAAAGGCCAAGATTGAGCTTGAACTTAAAGCGTTGCAAGACAACCAGTCGGCCGCTCAGCGAACAAAGAGGTCACGCGAAACGCAAGTCAAATCACTCCAGCAGCAGATTCGAGCACGCGAGGCTGAGCTCAAGCAGCTATTGCCTGAATATAACGCTAAGAAGGAAGAGGAGGAAGCTGTCAGGGCACAGTTGTTGGAAGCCGAAGGTCAGCAGAAGCGACTAGAGGAGAAGCAGGGCCGCACAGCTTTCTACACTACCAAAAAACAGCGAGACGAAGCTCTGCGTGCTCAAATAGAGCAGTCCAATGGCGACCTCAGCCGTCGCAAGGCTGTTCTTATGCAGACAAACGAAGAGATTGCTCAGCTTCAGAGCGACATTCAGCGCATCGAAAGTGAAATCGCCACTCTCAGGTCCACTATCGAAAGCGAGGGAGACGCCAGCGTTGATCTTGCCGCAAAGGTTGAGCAGGCCAAGGACGCTTACAAAGCCATCCACGACGAACAGACAAATCTCTACAGAGAGGAGAACAGAGTCAATACCCAACTCACAAACGCCCTAGGAGAGCTTAGGAAAGCGGAAAGCACCTTCTCCCGGCTGCTTGATCATGGCACAAGTCGCGGTCTCGAGTCGCTCCGTCGATACCAGAAAGAAGGGGACCTCGAAGGTGTGCATGGAACTATTGCGGACCTGCTCGATGTCAGTAGTGACTACCGGGCCGTCACAGAAGCTGCAGCAGAGGGTGCTCTCTTCAATGTTGTTGTAGACAACGATGAAGTCTCGAGTAAACTCATCGACAGACTCATCAAGGACAAGGGCGGACGTATCACCTTCATTCCTCTCAATCGTATCAGGGCTCATGATATGAACCTTCCGGCAACTGGAGATATGCAACCGCTGTTGCCAAAGCTGAAATATGACCAAAGATTTGACGAGGCATTCAAGCATGTCTTCGGCAAGATTGTCGTCTGTCCCGACCTGACTGCCTGCAAGAAGAACGCAAAGCAGTACAATGTTCGTGCATACACTCTCGACGGAGACAACGCTTCCCGCAAGGGCCAGTACCGTGGAGGTTACCATGATCCGACAAAATCCAAGATCCGTGCCTACCAAACGCTCGCTGAGATGCGCACGCAATACGATGAGCTGCAGCAACGCAAACGTGACATTGCGGCCGAATTCGAGCAGAAGCGCCAGCAACTTACTGCAGCTTTGAGCGAGGTTCGCCGACGCGAACATGAGAAAGACAAAGGCGAGAACAGCTATGCGCCAATGAGGGAAGAACTGCGGACTAAGCAGAGGTCTCTGAGAGATATCCAGGACACTTTGGCTAGGAAGCAAATGACTGCCTCGACACTTCAATCTGCCATCAATCAACTGGGCGCCCAACAGAGCGACTGGGAGGCTGAAATCGCTTCCAAGTTTGAGAAAGCGTTGTCGAATGACGAGGAACAGATGCTGGCAACATTGCGAAGTACAGTACAAGATTTGAAGCGACAGTTTGCTCGGGTCAAGCAAGAGCGGACTACCCTAGAGACCCGCAAGGTCGAGGCTGAGCTAGATTTGAACGAGAACTTGCAGCCCGAGCTCGACAACATTCAGGCACAACAAGGCGGTGCTGGTGGCTCGACCAGCCAGTCTTCACGGTTACGGGAGTGTGAACGTGCGTTGGACGATATCAACCGGACTATTGCCAATCTCGATCAGCAGATACAGGAGACTGATGCTCAAATCGAAGACATCCGGGCGCAGCTGAGCGAGCTAGAGAATGCAAGAAACGAAAAGGAGGCCAACAACCGCCAGCTTGCAAAGATGATGGCCAAGCAAGAGCATGCAATGTCTAAGAAAGACTCAGATCGCAGCCGTCTCACTGATCGACTAGCCGAGGTGAAGCGGGATATCAGAGATTTGGGTACTCTGCCGGAAGACGTAAATCGGAAATACACAAAATGGGATACCATGAAGGTAAGCTGGCATTCATTCATGATACGAGTGTCGCTTCATTTACTAACATATCCAAGGTCACCAAGGAGCTCACCAAAGTCAACCAAGCCCTCAAGAGCTTCGCCCACGTCAACAAGAAAGCGTTTGAACAGTACGAGAACTTCACCCGCCAACGCCGCACCCTGACCGAACGCCGCGCCGAACTCGACACGTCGCGCAAGTCAATCGAGAATCTCATCGACGTGCTCGACCAGCGCAAAGACGAAGCCATTGCGCGTACCTTCAAACAAGTCGCCGCCGCCTTTGGCGAAGTCTTCCAGCAACTCGTCCCCATCGGCCGCGGCCGCCTAATCATCAACCGCAAATCCGACCGCGACGCCCGGGGCAACGTGTCCGACGATGAAGATGAAGACGACGACGACAACAACAACAACAACGACAACGCCGCGCAGCCGCGCAACAAGAAGAGCAAAGTCGAAGAATACACGGGCGTCAGCATTGCCGTATCCTTCAACAGCAAGCACGATGAGCAGCAAAAAATCGGCCAGTTATCCGGTGGCCAAAAGTCGCTCTGCGCCCTCGCTCTCATCTTCGCCATCCAAAAATGCGATCCCGCACCCTTTTACCTCTTTGACGAAATCGACGCCAATCTCGATGCCCAGTACCGCACTGCGGTTGCCCAGATGCTGCAGCGGCTCAGTGGCCATGGTGGCAAAAAGGGTGATGGAGGCGGTCAGTTCATCTGTACCACGTTTAGGCCCGAGATGGTGCATGTGGCGGATCGGTGCTATGGTGTTAGTTATTCGAATAAGACGAGTAGTATTGATGTCGTCGAGAGGGAGGCTGCACTGGAGTTTGTTGAGGGCATGCAGAAGACGTAGTCAAGGTCTGTGGTTTTTGTATGTCTTTGGGGGAGGGAAGGATTGTTCAATGTAAAGGTATTTCAAGGGTCAATGAAGGAGTGAATTAGGATTTGTGGAAAGATGGCTTCTGGCGTAATGTCCATGTTTACTTTGCTTTGCTTTGAGTAGCTAATCACGAACGCATCTCAGGTTTTTTTTTGTTACTCTCCAACCAAAGGTTCACGGAATCATAGTTGGTAGTTTTTTTTTTTGCATCTTTTTTCGGTCATCATTTCAGATCTGACCCTTTTCGGACTTGTCGGATACTTGTCTTTGTTGCAGCAATCGTCTTCTCATTTCAGAAACTTTCTAATCCACAGTCGTGAGTTGTTGCAATGGCGAAAGCTGCAGCCTTGTTCTTGGCTTTCCACATCCCAGAAGAGAGTTGCTGAGGCAAACATTTTTTTTCTTGGAGTTAGATCTCGATCACTCAACTCTTTTTTTTTCTTGCTTCCTTTGGCCCGCTTCTGGAGACCTCGGTCCAGGTGTAATCATACGACAAGCAGGCCCCCCCCCCNCCCCCCCCTCCCCGCTCCCTCTTATTCTTTTTTCTTCTTTTCGCTATTCTTTCACTTTGCAACTTTTCGTCAGGTGCCGTGTCGTGGGCTATCTTTGCAAGCAGAGAGTGGGTAGTTTTGCTTTGCGACGAGTGGATCCGGTGAGATTGCACGATGAGTGGAGATCGGGTTTGTCGCTGTGCATCGTTAGGTGAGACCGTCTCCGTAATATGGGTGGCAGTGTGGCTATTGGGGCCAGCAGAGGAGAAAGACGACTTGAGGATCGGTGGTTAGTAGGGTGCATCGCGAAGAGCTTGGGGAACTAGGCCACGTTGGGCTTGGTAGCCTATGTCATGGAGGAGGCTAATTGGGTACCCGGATCCCTTGGCCCATCCGGCGGCAGTACTTGGCTTGACTGCCATCAGCCCCGTGTCTATCATCGCGATGTTATGATACTAAGTACGGACCTGAGGGATTTTGCTTACCAGTCTTTTGCTAGATGCGTTGTCTGCTTTTCCGATGCTCGATTGTTCATGTAGTGTTGCCTGCTAATGTAGGTGCGCTGATAACAGACATTGACCAGGTGCTCCCTTGCTCAAAGTGTACAGTGGCTAGGTTACCATGAGTGCAAATGCTATAAGAAGCAGGGACATTTCTTTGCGCGTGAGTACAAACCCAAATCTGGTCCATATACGGGAGTTTCGAGGCTTCCAAAATAGCTTGCATCCGTCAAGTTCAGGCCGGATGTTCTTGCATCGGAGTGCTACGACATTGTGTAGGATACAAGTAAGACCGAAATACGCCACTACGAGAGCAGTGAGAAGGTTCCTGACATGCATGTTGCCATGGAATACGGGTTTTCGGGGGGGCTGGTCGATTCATATTAGTTGCCTCATCGCCGTACTCTTGCCACAATGATTCAATCCTGGTCTTGATCATGATGCAGTCCGCCAGATGACAAGGTTGATATTTTCACAATCTCTCCTCCAACGCCGATGAATGGTTTGCCTATCTTTGGAACATTGTAAGTCGGTCCTACTCGAATGGTTCTGCTAGATTATCTTTATTCCCGAATTCATACTGCCTCTCCAATACCAGTTAGGTAAAATGTATGTCGGTTGAATTTACCCGCAGTAGGAGATGTGGAAGAACATACAACATAAACATTACCTTGATTTGATTACCGAGTTATTCCCGTAACGCTTTAGCTTGGTCAGTTCTGTATGCCTCTGCTCTTGCCTTCTGATGTGAGATGCGCTAAAAACACCACCACGGAGCAAGGTACCTCGATCAGGGCGGACCACCGGGAGAGGCGCCGCGAAACCAGGTCAACAAAATACGTCCAGGACTAGATAGGCTAAAAGATGATCTTGGTTAAGGTGTTTCGGTAGCGCTTCCGCTTACCATGTTCTGCGATGCCCTTAATACCCACTATCCATGGGCCCTGTGGCAGTTCGGAACATTTCTGAGTGGTCTGAATGTATATTTATCTACATACAAAGCATTGTGATAGCCTCGCGTTGGATGTAACATGTTCTGCTCGGCATTTTATGCACTCCATCATTCTTGCGAACATATGTTGAGTGTGGGCGGAGTAGCCTTAGTAAACGCGCTGCATGGGGAGAAAAACGGGAGGATTTGGTGGTGAGAAGATAGGACATCCAGCACAGTGCATACACGCTAGCTTCTTACGGCGAGCTAGTAAGTGTTTCCTCCCTGGGCAGACTGCATACTCGATGAGCCAGACCACCTAGTCAGTAGGAACAGCTTCGAAGGATGGCTAGGAAACGCAAAATACGGTTCGAATATGGAGCCTAAATCAATCCTGCAGGTACCTCGTGTTTACACGACAGAAGAAGCCGTACCATGGCAGGTACACCAAACATGACGTACATACATGCACATAGCAAAATCACCATCATGCCATGTCTTCTAGTAATTTACAAATAATTCAACATGTTCTTATATACTCGCGCATATTACAATACTGTGTACGATTTTCCCTCCTTCCCACCAAGTAACATGCTTGGGTGGGGGATGGGGCGTGGCAATCGTCTTTGGCTGGTGACGTTTGGTGGCCTCCGCGATCGCGATCCCAACGGAACAAAACCGGATCAAAGACTGCAGGCTATGCGTTTGAGAAACAGTTGCTGGTTTCAAGCTGAAGCAGGTCGGTATGAAATTCTCTATGCATGTTAGTTATGTTTTTTTTCACAAAAGACGAGCTCTCAGTTGCTGTGCGTGAATGATTGGATAATCCAGGAACGGGATAGGTTCCCGCCAATCATATTTCTTAAAAACAAGACACCCTACTTACCTCCTCCTCAGCATTAACGGAGTAGCTGCTGTCAAACAACAGCCCTCTACAGAGAGCTCATTGTTCAACTAAGTGGTATGCATACCTATTGCAGATAAAATTGCGCAGTCTGCCCTCCCCATCCTAGTCCATCCTTGGGCTGGCATACCTCGTATCCATCTTTTCACACCCATCCTCTCTCACACATCCATCTTCTTCGCCCGCCCATCTCTCCTCGCACGTCCCACGAAATCTGAAGTAATCTAGGCACACAGACGGCCACACATAAGCTCCATCTGAACTGGTAGTGCGCTCTTTAGCGCGCTTTGATACCTGCCAGCTTCCGTGATGCAAGGAAACCCATATCAAGCATCCAGTCCTGAATGCGGCAGGAAGGTCGCAATACCAAAGCTACCGCCTCGCCCTGGTAGGGAAAAGCAGGAAAAGGTTGAGAAAGAAGATCGGGTGTCAGTAACAACCACTCAAAGGCAATCAATAGACTGACATGTTTCTGTAGAGCAAGAGCATGCAAAGCCTGCCGCAAACGAAGCACGTTGGCCTCTTCTGTAAATTGACTCATCTAGCTAATGCTGAACACAGAAGTCCGATGTTCAGGTGAGACGCCGCGTTGCGCTACTTGCGAACGAGCCGGTTCAGTCTGTGTCTATGACTCTGCACGGCGTGATCGACTGGGAGAGTGTGTTTTCAAGACACCATCGTCATGTAATTTCGCGCTGACTCTTCAGGGCTATGCGGCTGAATCAGGATCTTGTCAACCTCCTGAGGGCACTGGAGGGACGTGTCGGCGATGCAGACAAGAAAACTATCAACGAAGTATTACAGAATGTACGTTTTCTATGCGCATTTGCCATGTGGCATCATATATCCTGTTAATCATTAGTATTTTATAGGTAGAAGACGACCTTGTCTCCTTGGATTCCGTTCAGTTGAGCAAAACGTTGGGGAAAAGACCACGCGAACAGTCCTCAGGGGAAAAGGAACCAGAAACTACTAACCACGGAGAGGCTTTTGTCACCGCGTCAGTTGGTTCGAATGAAGATCTCGATTTTCTGGACGAAGATTTGATGCGTAACCGCGAAGCAAGAGAGACCGGCTATATAGGTCAAAACTCTGAGGTACAATGGCTGCGCAGCGTTCAACGCCAAGCTGAACGTGGAAGCATAAATTCTGAAGGCCAAAGACACGGTCCTCCCGGCTCAAGCTCCAAAGCCGTCAATGAACGAGTTGATGCTTTGCATGAACGAAGAAAAAATACCAAGCAAGGTTCCATGCAACACACAACCGACGCAACCTTCTATTTGGATAGTGACGACATCGAGATCGATATCGCGGTCGATCCTTACGAAATGCCGGAACCAGGAGTTGCCGAGAACCTCTTCAATTGCTATCTTGAAACCGTGCATAATACTTTCCCACTCATGCCGGTCAATTTTGAGGGTCAGTTTCGCCGCTACATACAATCTGCAAAACAAAAACGCCAATATGAGATCCCTCCAAAATGGCGCATTACCATGAATCTCCTTTTTGCAATTGGGGCCAAATACTCTCAACTCACGGGAGCTCCATGGAGAGGAGACGAAAGAGATCACTTGATTTACATGACTCGCGCAGTGCATCTTCTACGTCTAGGTGATCCTATCGTGTTTATTGCAGCGCCTACCATGGATAGGGTTCAGGCTGTAAGTGACCTCTTTTTTGTTCTCCATAATGACAACTAACCTTTCAAACTGAAGACTGGCGCCCTCGCATTTTACTTCCTTGCAATTGGCCATGTTAGTAGGGCTTGGATCATGATCGGAGTTTCTATCAGACTGGCCTTGGCTCTTGGCCTTCATCTACGCAACGAGAATACAGCACTAGACGACTCTAAAAAAGAGCCACTAGTGAGGACATGGTGGTGTTTGCACGCTATCGAATGCCTTGTGTCATCCATCACGGGCCGTCCCCCAGTTATTGGACATGAGGACTGTACCGTATCTTTACCAAGGTCCAATCTAGGGCCGCCAAATCAAGATAACAGTTCATCTAGACAACCTTCCCGCGTCCGCACAAGCTATGAATCACCACAATCAAGCGCAAGGAGTATCACCCCTCAGTCTGATAGAGGTACTGATGACAGTAGTTATTTGGTTGCATACATCAATTTGAATCTCATCTCGCAAAAGGTTCTTCTCAGCTTATATTCCCCGCGGACTGCAGCTCGATCCTGGGAGGTATGTCCAAAACCGTACTGCCTGACTGCTCCTCCTCATATGACCCTATCGCTTGGATTTGCTAACGACTATGATTTACAGCACGTTCAGACTAGGATCACAGAGCTTCTCAATGAACTGGATGATTGGGCCAACATAGCTTTACCGTCTGATGACCTTTATGCAAGTAGCTGGGCTCAGCAACCCGACGTCGATCGCGAACGCTACTTGCTCAGGATTTATTATTGGAGCACGAGGGTCCTCATCACACGACCTTGTCTCTGTAGAATGGAGCGACGAATAGAATCCGAGAGCAGCCGTTCAGCCACTTTCAACACAAAAACAGCCGAGTTGTGTGTTCAAGCGGCCGAACAAATAACATCATTGTTTCCTGACCAACCAGACACGACCTTCATCTACTCCCGGGGCCCATGGTGGGACATAGTTCATATTAGTAAGTTTTTTTTTAGACCTGAGAAAGAACAAAACTTACTGACAATGATTGCAAAAGTCATGCAGAGCATGGCTGTGCTTCTGCTGGAGATGTCTTACGAGGGTCAAGATCTTAAAGATGGTAGAGAAAACATCATGAAGTACATCAAGAAGTTGATGAGTTGGCTCCGTGCTTTGCGAGTCAACGACCCTGTCGCCTCTCGGGCCCACAGTGTGGTTTACAAGATCCTAAACACATGTGCTCCTATCTTGAGAGAACAGGTCAAGGAGCTTATGGATGATGATGATGATGGCCGTCAGCCTTCGCAATCCTGGACATGGGAGCGTTCCCAAAATTTCACCATTCCACCTCAACAAGAGTCCTGGGATACATCAAACGAACCCGTCTATCCAGCAGTGTCGTCACAGACTTTCCCGCCATTCCTCTCGGAGCAGTTCCCGGACCCTATCTATCCTTACCCTATCGAGTACGACCAGTTCATGGCTTTTCCCTTCGGAAACCCCTTCACGACGACTTTTGATCAGGGAACTCCTATCCTCGACATGCAAAATCTTTGGTGGCAATCAGCATCGTCTGCCAATCTGAGTCTAGACCCTTCGGAATTGGTCATGCCCTACCAACAGCAGGCGCAGCAACCGCCACAGCAGATGCACCACCAAATTCATCAAGACATGCAGCAGAATGACTGGATGCAGCAGCCAGACGAAGATGACGACCTCGATCATGCGCCACAACCGTAATGGCAAAAGGGTTGATGACCAGGCTATCCGTAGATTTTAGCTATCATGTCAATCTTTGGAATCTCACTAGTTTGCGCCTCTGGCCCCATTTATTTATTTTATTTTTTGCATTGATGTTCACTGATACCTTTGTCTTCCGCGATGAGGGCGGCCAAGTAACAAGCAAGGAAGAAATAATTTCAATTTGAGGGGGCTAGATGGCTGCAACAAGTCTTTTTGGGTAGTTATGAAAATTGCACTTTTAGTAAACGCAAAAGTCTTGTTACCATAAACCTATATTTGTTGGCTGAGATGGCATCTCCCACTGACACTAAGGGGTTGAAACCTTTTTTTGTTCGTCTGAGTCAAGTTCACGACACAAATCTTGTAGATTGAAAATGTTCTGACTGATTTTCTTCATACTTGTTTACCGTAGATTTAATGCAGATTAATCACAACGGGTACATGAGTGGCTTTGTTCGCTGGCTCTTGCTTTGGATAACAAGAAACATTGCGTTGGCGTTCTGGCATGGCGTCCCGTCATGTTGCATCTCCACGCGCGTCCAACTAGTCGTTTACATCAGGAGGCAGTCTGCTAAAAAAACGCTCGAAAATTCTGTGCACAGAGCCCTTCTAGCATGTTCACTCATACCAGAAACAATTAAGTGCATATGTGCTAGATTTGTTAGCAATTGGCGAGACCAAAAGCGTTTGGTTTGAAGTGTCGAAAACTCCAAGCAAGACTCTGGCTTCGAGTGAGAAACGTATTGTCGCTACAACAGTGCCTCATATTAATCAACGTGCACAATCAACTATCAGGCTAACTTACCTATTCTCAGCCAAAAAAAAGAATCAATACACCTTCCCATTACTCACCAGAATCTCCCTTCCCAATAACTTAAATCTGCGCAGCTCCAACTGAGCCACAAAAACCACAACCAACACAAATTTTCTCCCACTATCCAACGCTAGTGTTATCGTAACATAGAGTTTCGCACCCAGCAGGTCCAGAACACAACCGACCCACACTTCAAATTCCGTGTTGGCGCGCCCACAATTGCAACTCATTTTCCCAAAATTTGGCGCACAACAACATAATTGAACAAATTGCTCCATCTTCCATCGAATCAGCTTCAACAACAGCACCCATCGGGCTTGTGGTTTAGTGGTATAATACTCCCTTAGCATGGGAGTGGTCCGGGGTAAATATTTCCCAATCATCTTATACGATCTTCGCTTATTAACATCTACATTAGGTTCGATTCCCCGCGAGTCCATCTTTTTTTGCTTTTATTTTTGTCCGCGGATGTGTCGTGATCTTGGGGTAGCGGGATAGAAAGTCTTTCGAACGTGGCTAGATAGGCAGGGTTGGGGCGGAAATTGTTGATGCCCAGACTATTTTTGGATGGGAGATGGTGATGGATCGTGTTTTAGAGGCAAGGATGAATCAAGGGATAGAGGATAAACATGGTGTGATGAATACACGGCATAAAGATGGGCGCAGTCATTGATCATGCCCTACTCTCCATACGCAAATCTACCGATGCGAAGAAGTCGACGACACACTGCCTCGCCTACCACGGCTCCTACACCCCTCACACCGACACTGCATGTCACTGGCCGCCTGGGCGCGACGGACTCTGAACCTCGCCAAGCGGCTCGTAAACACGCCCGAAGCACCAAGACCCAACTCGACCGTCTTAACCTGCGTCAGCGGCTGTGCAGAATCAGAAGACGGGTCAAAAGCGTACGCGCCCTCGACGATGCCGATTGTCGCATCCGCCGCATCCAGACGCTGGATATCAGACGCATATACAGCGCCCAGCCCCGGCACGATACCGCGGTCGAGACTGGATGTGATACGGGCGATGGATAGGGCGTCGAGGTGCGGGGTCCAGGTGGGGACTTTGTAGATGTAGTATGCGAGGTATGCGAGGCCGAGGAGTTGGAGGAGGAGTAGGAGGGAGACGAGGGTTATGCCGGTGAGCGAGATGCTGGGGGCGGGGATCAAAGTTCCTGGGGAGGAGTGGAGGGGCCGGCCGGTTGTGCCGGAGGTTTTGAGCGAGGTTTGGGTTAGGAGGGCGCGGTTGGCGTGGAAGCTTTTTTTGGGGGGGTTAGAATGGAGGGGGTTTGGGAGAGGTGAAGGAAGGGGAGGACGTACATGCTTGCGGAGAGGTAGCGTTCTGTGGCTGTTGTGTCTGAGAAGAGGACGGTTGTAAAGTTTTGCATTATTTGGAGGAGGCGCTCTGTGTCGTCTGCTTGGGAGGAGCATGCGGCTGTGTAGTCGCGGTAGCTACGGAATGTGGAGAAGGGGAGGCGATTGAGACGACAGATCTGGTCGAGGAGTCGGGGCGCGGTAGCATTTGTGGATGCGTTAGCGGCTGCGAAGAGGGAGCTTTCACCGAACAATGTGATGGCTGAGGTCATTAGTGGACCAGACATTGTCGTGCTTGTGTCTTTGAAGATAGGGCCCACGGGCCAGCTTGATGGCGTGGATTCGGATGCTGGCCTTCAACAGAGTCAGTTAGCAAATCACACATGCCATGTAGATATGCTACATCTCTTACCAGCCCGCAATATCCGTCAGTCTATCCTCTTCTGACGGTCGGCGCCAGCGGCCCTCGAAACTGCTCAGTACATCACCATTCTTATCTACTTCCACCCTGTTACCGTCTCTCCAAAAATCGGAAAGGTAGTCGTTGTACTGTGCCCTATCTGCAAATGGGTCTGGCTCAACCCAACGCTCCAATAGGGGACCGTATACGTAGTTGTTGCGGTAGTTGCCGAGCTCGAAATAGCCTCGCGTGGTCTTGATAACGCAATGTTGCGTGTAGCTCATCGGTCCGTCATTCTTATCCGTTGTATTGACATCCACAAAAATATCTTCTACAATATCCTGCCTATTGCGAGAGAGCTGCCATGGAAACTTTCCACGCTGACCTGGGACGCAAATTTTCGCTCCGAATTGACCAGAGGAGGTAAAATCAGAAGTAAAGGGACTCCCACCCGTGCAAGTGGCGGGAAACGAAGATTGCCTAATCTCAATACATCGAATCGTCGAGTTAAATCGCATTGCGCGGTTTCGGAGAATACCAGTTGTTGTACCATTAGGAAAAGCAGCAACGAAGAAACCCAGGCCCGGCTGTGCCCAAGGACCCAACTGCTTCAACTGAGGCACATTGCGCAGCTTAAAAGGAGCCGCATCCTGTAGATCGGGCCAAAGATTCGTGGGAACCTCACTGAAGGAGAGAGAAGCCAGTGAATTCTCGAGTTGCTGCACAATTACACCTTCAGGTATGGTGGACATGTCGTCTGGCTCGGGGTCCACCCCTAAGAGTGTATATCTTCCTCCGCGAAAGGGCCCATTCTGCGAACCCACAGGATTGTCTTCTGTGGCCATGACCAAGATTTGCCCTGTAGAGACAAAACCCTCTCGGATAGGCTGCTGGATACCGCAGAGTAAAAGGAACAATGCAGCAAGCCATAGGAACCCACTACCAGGTCCAATGCGTCGGGCTTGGTCACCATTCGTCGTCCTATTACTCCTCCATGGTGGCCAGGCTTCGTAGAGGATGTTGATGTTCGACCATCCACGGTCTGCTAGCGCAAAAACCTGGGATACACTGACCGTCTGGTTCTTCCGCCGCCTTTGCGTATAGACGACTGCAGCTTGTGCGATCAACGCCGAGATGAGGGGGATCGTGACAATGCTGGCGAAAGAGTTGAGTACTGCAAGGGCATTTACAATGCGTCGCTGTGTTGTAATGTTGCTTTCTGTGAATTCAGTTTGGATGTACGACGGCAGGCCCACTGGGTGGTAGGCGAGTATACATGTTAGTACCCATGGCACAACAAGTATGGGAATGTAAAATGCGATGATCCCAAGCGCACGGTGTCTGTAGCGTAGTGTTGGTATATCTTCTGCGCGTGGCTGAGGAGGGTCGCCGCTTCTTCTCGCTATTAATGTAGTATGCTGCGATTCGGTTTGTTCGTCAACCATACGTGGTGCTTTTTCTTCTCCATGATGGGAGCGTGACATGTCGAAAATTGATACCCCAACGAATTAAGGGAAATCTCGACATAATTAAAGCCAGCTTTCTGATCGCCGACCAGAAATGCCAAGTTCATTCCACAATGGCTACGCCTCCTTTCAAGATGCCGGGGTTGTCGCTCTGGGGGCCTGAATAACGCCGTCCCCACATCTTTGACATTCGAGGATACCGCAAGCAAGCAAGCGACATATTTGCTACCCATCCACAAGCGCCTTTGGACTCTCTATCCTGGAGACACGATTGGAGATGTCAAGATACAGGCTGGGATTTGCTACAACTCTTAACGTGCAAAGCAGCTCAACTAGCCTTCGAACCTTTTTGTCTCGGCGTAACGGCGGTGCATATAACGGCTTTCTAGAGATCTGCATTCAAAAGATTTAGTGTTGTAAACAGGGTCTGGCCACACCGGTTTCGGCTGCGGCCGTTAGAGCTCGTGCGGTAGGCAGTGCTTTTGTGTAGTTATTATTGTAGATGTCTTCCTTGGCAGATCGCCTTAGACCCTTTAATGTCCGCGGACCAGTTGGGTTACGGGAGAACGTGTGCACGCCAAACCGGGAAATTTTGCGACTCAAGGAGAGTATGCTGGTCACCGCGCAAGGCAGACTAGTTCGAGTCAATATACCTTTCACATACCCACGTTTGAGCCACGCTCCTTGACTTCGCTATGATCACTCTCGTACTAGCTCAAGATAGTGGAATGACTACAAAGTAAATCTATTTAGCTCAACCGCCATACAGAGAAAAGAGAAACTTGCGTGGCTAGACGTACACTATATTCTACCTGCCGCCAGATCTTCAGTGATATACAAACCCTGCTGGGTGGGAAAAGGAAAAGAAATAAAGAGAGCGAGAAAAGAAATTGATTGTTTTGACAAGAATAAAAAAACGCTGGACCGAAACTTCGAGATAAGTGTACATCCTTACTCCGCAAAACCAAAAAACAGTCCATATTTAATCTTCGATGATGCTGAGTAGAGAGTCGAATACATCGTCTTCATCCTCGTCTCCATCATCTTGCTGCCGCTGTGCATGATCTTCGGCATCTTCTTCCGACTGCACATCGCTGTCGTTTTCATTGTCACTGCCAAAGCCACTGTCATCCCCTGAGAAACTTGCGCCCTCCTGAGCACTAATGGCGGCGCCCGCAATGGAGCTCGTAACACTCTCGCCATCAGTGACACCGTGCCAGCTCTGCTCGCCGTCATCGTCGTTGTACGCATCGTCGTCATCGTCTGGCTCCGTGTCACCACCGTTGTTGTAGGCACTGTAGCCAGGACCGCCCACAAAAGGCCCAGAGTGAGGGGTCGCATAAGCAAATGGAGTTGATTTACCAGTCATAGCAACAGAGCGTTGACTTGGCCTACTTGCGATGTCGGAGTAGGATCGTGGCAGTGGAGGTTGCGAAGAGTAAAACGGTGAAGGCGGTTCACGCGAACGCCGAGGGGTTGCAGTCCATATTGGAACCCGGGGCTCTTCCCGAGCATCCTCTTGTGGTCTTGGTGATGTGGACTCTGTTACGCGACGTCTCTTAAGCCTCGACATCAGACTAGGTGTGCGTGATACCGTTTGTGGAGCAGACGACTGCTTTATTGGAGACCCATTGTAGCGACGCTTGGCCGAGCTAAGGGGAAATGTATCCATGGCCGAAGCAGACACTGTGCGATTGCGATGGGATGATGGGAGTCTCGGATGATTCTCGCTCAATGGAGAGATTGGATGCGTCTGTTTTTTCAAGATGGAGCTTGGTGTGATTGATCGTCGCCATTGTCGGCCTGCAGGTCGCATAGACAGTTGGGCAGATTGGTTGCTACCGAATGAAGAATGCATGCTAGCAGGCGGAGCATCGTACGCTTCGACAAACTGCCAGCATGCTTCTTTGGCATCTGCTTCAGGGACGTGTGGTTGGCAGTCTTCATCATTGCCGTCCGTTTGCAAATTCTTTTCGGGTTGGTAGCGAGGCAATTGTCGGAGTTCTGGCCATGACTGTTCCATGACAACAAACTCGTTTCGATCAACCTGCTGGGTATAGGCTTCGCGATGAGTCACGTATAGCCTCTTCTTTCCCCCAGATACTCGCATCATGACACCGGATGCGAGGAACTGGGCTGTCCAGAACGCTGAGCTCGACATTTCGGCGGGTGTAAGGAAACGAAGCCGTGATTCCCTAAGCACCTTTCGTAGTGGTATATAAGACGCCCGAAGACCCGGATAGGCAGCAATCATGGGGTTCTCATCGCTGTCATCGTACTGTAAATGATCAAACACGTCGCTGAAAGCATTCGACAGCGTTTCCTGGACGTCTTTGGCACTGGCGCCCCTCAGTGTAATGTCTCGCACAAAACCACGGCTTTGGAGTCGCTTGTAGACTAGGTTATTACTTCCACAGGCCTTGGGGAACAGCCAGTCGTCGGTAGATCCCGAGGCCCAGTTAGTAATGTCTTGACTGCTCCATCCACTTTCGTGTTGGTTGAGTACGGGGTTACTGCCCAGCATCGGAGCACCCGGGTAAGGACTTGAGTCTGTGTCTCGCCTACGCATTTCTAGCATCGGCGTGCCCGTGCTAGTCCTGGAGGACCGGGCTTGAGTCCATTCTTCAGAACTCTGAGTTGTGGTCCTGTCAACGTCATGCATTGGGTCATCCTGTGAGAACCAGATGCCTCGTAAGTCAGGCCCCCATGGCAGCAGTACTACTTCAATCTCCCAAGGAGCCAGAGAGGTGGGAGGCGCCGCAGCTTCTAGCACATCAAGTCTTTGCTTGATGTGATCGAGTTCCATCTCGGTGTCTTTACGATCCATGGCTGCGAGTATTAGAGCCGATGAAGTTGTCGATTCGGCAGAGTGATTTGATCCAAAAGACGTATTGGCGTCCTTGATGTGTCTTCGACTGAAAGAACTGATACTACCGTGGTCATCTAAAGCTTGGTGCATTTTTTCATGCTCGTCCACGCGGTGCTCTACCTCAATAAGTCTGCCTTCGTACATCTCCAAGGTCTGGTTGAGGTCTTCTGGTTGCACATAATTGAAGGAGCCATTCTCTAGCATATCAAGGCGGCTGCCCAGGTCTCGCATAGTGTTAGCTACGTTGGGTATCGAGTTTAGCAAGTTATGCAATGGAGCGAGATAGGACACCAGCTTTTGGAGCCCTTGTGGAGAAGCTGTTTGTAAAAGATTTTGCAGCTGTTCCTGGGGCACTGAAGGAGAGTTTTCCAACAAAAGCTGAGTGGGCACTGTGGCATTGGTTGGTCGGTCTGGTGAGCTGGCCGCCTGCTGTTGCATGTCTGAAGTCATTCTTGCCAAAGTATCAATCAGGTTCTTTCCTTCTTGTACCGCCCGATCAGCAGCACTTAGGTCTGGAGTAGCTCCTGCACTTGGAGTTGCGACTTCTGTAGTGCTTTGCACGTATTCTTCAGGGTTGTATGTGTTTGGGATGGTATCGCCAGGTATATCAAGCTGTATATTGCGATTGAAGGGAAGGACATGTTCTATGATAGCGTGCGATGGGCTGTTCGTGTTCGCTCTGATCAAAGAAGGGTCACGCTCGTTGCGATTTGTTTGTGGGGTCCCAGCGATGTTGATGTCATCTGGTATAGTCGGTGTAGGCGACTGTTGACGGTTAACCTGACACATGCTCTCCAAACGCATTGTCGAAAGACCCAGGCCTGTCACTGAGTGATGCGACTGACTCACCCCATGCCTAGTTTCCTTGTTAGCGACTGGACGCTGCTCATGAGATAGCAAGCACACGGAAGGGATTCCGGGGAGACCGCTCGTGGTAGCTTGCGATGGGGTGTCTTGACTTTGTACTATGCGACCCGGCTCGTGGACTCGTGAAGTGTGTAGGAGATGTCGCTGGCTGTGAGTGGACTGTGAATTGAAGCGCTCAAGGCGCATGGATTGGTGCCCGCCAGGCACAGCCAAGCGCAATCCAGCATGCGCATCGCATGGCACCCTGGGCAGAGTCTGGCATTGGCCCTCGCACAGCACGTGAGGTGACGGCAGTGGGACAGAGATTGAAGGCGCACGCCGTTCGGGCGCACGCGACGCCTTCAGATGGAAGCAGGCATGGTGGCCGCAGACACACCAGGTCGAGCGCTCACTCCCCGGACGATGCTCAGTGCTCTCGTCGTGCAAGTCGGCGCTGAGCTTGTCCCAGAATTGGTCACATCCGCATGGTCCTAGACTGGCGTCGCGATAATTGCATGGTCCGTTGGGGAGCGGTCGTCTCGAGGGTGCTGGCGGTAGCGTACGTGGGTCTGCGAACCCAGCCATGGATACTGATGTCTACGCATCCCGCAGAGGACGCGATTAGTCTAGAATCGAGCCATACTCGCTGCGACTATGAGAGGCTGCGACGCGGTTAGAAGCGACTCGAGAAACACTGGCATGGGTGGGTGGGAAAAGCGCATACCAAGGGAGTTTGGACGACTTTCCAGAAAATAGGCGAATGAGGAGGGGGACGCGACGTGGGATTTATATATTAATGGCACGGGTGGAGCCGGCAGGGGAGGGGGACGCACCAAAGGTGGTGGGAGCATGTGGAGGGGGAGAGAGGCCGTCGATTACTTTTGGGCCGTGACTCTTTGGCATGCACACATGGACGCACCCAGCAACGGGTAGGGTGGTGGACGGCGCCGCAAACGCTTCCCCGGAGTCTGGATACAGCGCGGGACGGCTCCTGAGCACTGAGGCCATGCCTTGATAGGCCCACCGATGTCTGGGTGACAACACCCTGGCCCTTGGACGTGCATCAAGTCCAATCTCCAGCACGGGCGATGCTGCGAAAAGCAAAAAGACGACTCTAGCCCTGGAATCCAGGCAAAAAAGACCCTCTTCTGCCCACTCCTTCAGCTGCGCCTTGTACGCTTCCATTTGTCACGGTGGAGTGGCAGCAGCAGCAGCAGCGGCGGCGGCGATATTCGTTCCCACCTTCCAAGTACCATGCGCGTATATGTATGCGCCTCCAAGTGCGCGCCAGGCAGAAATCTTATCCACGGGACTGGTTGTCGTCAGCGATGCATCCTCATGGCATTGCTGCTGCACCTACAGGGCCCGCATTCGGCAACCCGGACCTGGGCTGAGAAAACGATGCATCGTTTTGCCATGCACGCGTCTTCCGTATCTTGCATGGGGGACGCGCCAACTGACGCGGCTAGTCGTGTGGCCATGTACCTATACAGTAGCATCTTCATGCAACCATGATGATCATGTAACACCAGCAACGCTCCTATACAACTTGCGCGATCCTTTGGGGCAAAAGTTTCTGGTTGAGGTTTAGTTCGATCCGAGAATGGCCGTGACGCGACTTCCCATCGGAGAGCCTCTATAGGTATATACAGCACTAGTAAGTGTAGACTGGCCATGCCCTAAATAAGAATCTTATATACTCCGACCTCAATACTCGGCGTCCAAGCATGTCGGCTGTCTGGTCTAAGGAGATGGACGCCTATCGACTGCGGCGGACAAGTACTACCGTTCTTCCCAGATTTGGTGGTAAGAGGAGCTTGTGTATAAGAGAAGAAAGAAACCCCCAGTCAGAGTATGCGACGGACTCAAAGATACCGACACACCTACACATCCTCCATCTTTTACGCCAACCGCAGACCATTCTCTTCGGGCTTGAACCACTCTCTCAGCAGATCCTCCAAGATGCCATTGGCACCCTGCTTGGCCTCCTCACTACTCTTGCCCTGGCACTCAATGTAAAGCTTAATCTTCGGTTCCGTCCCGCTGCCTCGGACGGTAAAGACGGCCCCGTCATCTAGTTCGCAGGTGATCATCTGGGCGGTCGGGTCGATAGGCAGATCAGGCTTGTGATCCTCACTCTTTGAGTCATAGCCTAGTGTCAGGTCGCGCCAACGCACAATCCTCCGCGTCCCGATAGTAGCTGGGTATGGGCTGCCAAGTGCGCGAATGGCCGTAAACACTGACGTAGTCACCGACGGTGATGGTGACACGAGGTAGGTGTTTGCGTCTTCAAAATAGCCGAGATACTCGTAGAGTTGCTGCAGCTTGGCATAGGGCGTAAGCCCTTGTGACGACCACTGTGACGCGGCTGTGAGGAAAACTGCTGCAGCACTGATCGAGTCCTTGTCGTGCACAGTTTGTGGGATCATGTAGCCCAGAGCTTCTTCAAAGGCATACGCAACGTCGTAGCCCTTGCTCTCGAGCTGTCGCGCTACATTGCCGAGCCACTTGAACCCAGTCAAGGTCTCAGTGAAGTGGAAGCCTTCCTTTTTGGCGAGCGCAGCGAGCATCCGGGAACTGACTGTGGAAGCCAGCATGGCAAGCTTCTCTCGCGGCTTCGAGGTGGGATAGCGCTCGAAGAGGTAAGAGCCAAGCAGGACTCCGAGCTGGTTACCCGTGAAGATGTGCCATTTATCACCCACCTTCTCCGCTGCCGCAAGTCGGTCTGCATCGGGGTCGCTAGCGAGAATGAGGCGTGTCGACGACTTTTCCGCAGTTTCGATTGCCAGATCCAGCGCTCCCTTTTCTTCTGGATTGGGAAATTTCACCGTTGGGAAGTCCGGGTCGGGTTGTGCTTGAGCCTCGACAATACTCATCTGAGAAGTGACTCCAAGAGTTTGAGCACATCGCTGCATTGCGGGAAGTCCCACGCCGTGCATGGGAGTATATACGAATTTGAGGTCTGGATCCATCTTGACTTGAGCATGCTCAGGCTGTGCTGCATAGAGAATGGCCTTGTGATATGTGTCCTGCACTAGTCCTAGGCTTCCCTCGACCAAAAGCGAGCTTTCCACCACTGAAGTGTCCCAAGTGACAGGCTTGAGGTTCTCCAAGATAGCCTGTGCAATGCCGCTGTCGTGTGGAGGGATGATCTGGCAACCGTTTGACCAGTACACCTTGTAGCCGTTGTCCTTGGCCGGGTTATGGCTCGCAGTAATCATGATACCAGCGGCGGCTTCAAGCTCGCGCACACCAAAAGGGACCATAGGCGTATGACTAGGCTCCTCGTACCACCACACCTTGATACCCTTTGCCACGAATGCGGCGGCCGTGAGCTTGGCAAATTTCTCAGAGTTGTGTCGCGCATCCCGGCCAATAACCACGCCTCTCTTCTTTACATTTTCCTCGGTCTTCAAGAGGTATGCAGCCAGTCCTTGCGAGGCTTGGATGACGGTCAGGGAGTTCATGCAGGCGAAGCCGCCCTGCATTGGTCCTCTGAGTCCGGCAGTACCAAAGGCAATGCGGTGTCGCAGTCTCCTTTCAAGCTCATCATGGTCGCCGTTGACCAAAAGCTTGTAGATCTCGTCAGTCGTTGTCTTGTCCTCGTCCAGCTCCAGCCACTCGCTCGCCAGCTCTTTGATATCCTTGGTCATGGCTGTGGGCTGTCTCTGTTCTACAGGTGACGGTTGTGCTATGTGCTTGTCCAGGGGCGTTGAGAAGGGGAGTAGGAGCAAAGGAGCAGTTTGTGTACAGGGTTCGCGGCCTGAACTAATATTGTGGAGTGATCTGGCGTGCAGTCAAGACTTGTCAATCTGGTGACGACGGAGTTGGCCGAAACAAAGCGAACCGCATGCCCAGGTGGGAAAGGGCTGCCCACTGTACATATTTATCTGGCCTCGATCGCGCCAAACTTTGTGGAAATGCCCGACATTCCAGAAGAAATCCACAGCCCTGTTTTTCACACTACGCATAGAATGCGTATGTGAATGGCTAGGGTTCTCAGGTTGTTTTTAGCCCCAAACCATGTGACTACCAGCCATGTGGGCGTGGAACGTGGGGCAATAGGGCCGTGCAAGGCGGCGCAGGGTCCGCCGCCTCGAGGAGCCGCCTACCAACTCTATCAGCTCACCGTCTCCTGTTCCACTGCATGGCCCCAGCATTGCACCCCCACAAACATGCACTTCTCCTTATGAGCTGCACCGTGATCTGTCTAGCGTTGATTCGGTCCGCCAATTGAGCCCTGCAGAGCGGCCATTCATCTTGCATTGTATCTTCTGCGCACACTCTCGTTACATCCTACCCCATCGCCCTGCGCCAAATCATGGCCACCCAGACAGACAGGAAATCCAAAGTGCTCAGCCGGCGCGAAATCGAGGCTCAGATTGCCAATGGGCGCTCAATTGTCATCGTGGACAGTGCAGTACTGAAGCTCGATGCCTGGCTGCCGTACCATCCAGGCGGTGACAAAGCCATCCGACACATGGTGGGACGCGATGCAACAGATGAAGTCACTCGGTATGTCTCGTTTAGCCATACAATGCCGACACAGTGCTGAACTAGACTCTTTAGCTTTCACTCCACGCAAACGCTCCAGCTCATGAGCCGCTACCAGATTGGTCGAGTCGAGGGGCGGTGGACCAACTTCCTACCACCGATACAAGGAGGGAAGTTCAGGACACAGGAAGAGCTGGATAAACTCTCCGAAGAAGAGTATGCGACGTCAGTCTCTTCCTCGGACCAAGAAGCCACTAGCTCTTCATCTTCTGCAGACAACAGCCCCCTGTTTGAACCAGCAGACCGAACCTCCGATCCTCTTCGCAAGCGCAATGGCAACACCACCAGAGCCTCCTCGACATCGAGCATCTCTTCAGCCGGGCTCGACCAAAAGTCTCCAAAAATGTCCCTTCTCGACAGACGAACCCAGGAAGAGTTGGACTTGGATAAGGCCAAATACCCGTCGGTCGACTTTGTCACCCAGGACAACATCACACAAAAGTACCGTGAGCTGCAGGTACGCATCAAGGAAGAAGGGCTGTATGAATGCAATTATGGTGCATACGGCATCGAATGCCTACGCTACGGCTCCTTCCTGGCCGCATTCCTGTTTCTGCTACATGCGGGCTGGTACATCACCAGCGCCATTCCCCTTGCATGCCTCTGGCATCAACTTACGTTTACGGTCCATGATGCTGGACACATGGGCATCACCCACGATTTCACCACAGACTCTACCATTGCAATGTTCATTGCATCCTTCATGGGTGGCTTGAGCGCTTGCTGGTGGAAGTACAACCACAACGTCCACCATTTCGTCACCAACCACCCTGAACACGACCCGGATATCCAATACATTCCCTTGTTCTCCATTACGCACCGTTTCATGGAAAGTCTCACAACGACCTTTTACGGCTGGGTTATGGAGTATGATGCTTTTGCGAAATTTATGATCCGCATCCAACACTATACATACTACCCGATCATGCTCTTTGCACGCTTCAACCTTTACAGGCTATCCTGGATGTATTTGCTCGGTGGAAAGGGTCCCAAGAAAGGCCCTGCATGGTGGCACCGCTACTTTGAGATTATGGGTATAATGGTCTTCTGGGCATGGTACGGCTATGGAGTCGTGTACAAGTCGATACCAGACAACTGGAGCCGCTTCTGGTTTGTGCTCATCACCCATGCTTTGACCTCACCACTCCATGTACAGATCACATTGTCTCACTTCGCAATGAGTACTGCAGATCTGGGTGTTCACGAGTCCTTTGCTCAGAAGATGCTGCGAACGACCATGGACGTTGACTGTCCACAGTGGCTAGACTTCTTCCATGGAGGTCTCCAGTTCCAGGCTATCCACCACTTGTACCCTCGCATTCCACGGCACAACCTGAGGAAGACTCAGAAGCTAGTGCAAGGGTTTTGCAACGAGGTGGATATACCATATGCGCTCTATGGCTTCGTAGATGGCAACAAGATGGTCATTGGGAGGCTGGCAGATGTGGCCAGGCAAGCAGCTATCCTCGCAGAGTGCCAGCGGACAATTATTGCAGAGGGTGATTATGGACTGCACTGATGATATAGTTGCAACCATATACTTTTGATTAGCTACTAGGATCTGCTAGACCTCAATATTACTGCATGACTTGTCTTTGGCAAAGTAAACTGGATGACTTCCATTTTGCAAATGTTGCTCCACAAGCTTGACGTCGAGGCTAACACCACTGACCTTTCCTGCCGAGGTCGTGCCAACTGCAGATGCCTGCCTAGATCGTTCCCCGTCCGGATGAAGAGCCGAGTCTAAAACAAGATTGCATGCACATGCTAGGTGGAGGCTGTCACCCAACATGTCCGCCGCGTTCCGCCGTTGAGGCATACTGCATACCTCGGGCGGTGCCTGAGTTTGTAGATCACGCCACCAAGACCGTTCACGCTATTCAAATCCAACCAAAGATCCAGCGCTTCATATGTATGACCTGATGATTTCTAAGAAGTGCCAGATGTTCAATGCCACGAAGAACGCGTTGCTACTAGCGTGTTTTTGTACCAACCCCACTTTGTGGTGGGCACACTGAGCCATGACGTAGCTATGGCAGCTAACAAACATGAGCTCGTATACGCCAAAAACGAATTTGTCGCTATGATGAGATGCATATGCAGCACTGGAACCAATCACATATTGTCCATGGGCCAGGACAACGTCTCCGGTCTTGCCGCTGGCTAGTTCTTACCCTCACATGTCCGACTGTTTAAAGCACTCTCTACCCTCTGCTTTGCTTGTGCCTTTACCTTGCTTCCTAATTACCAACTAATATATTTTGCAACTCAGAACTCTTCTGCTGCTCTCTCCTCAAATACGGTTCGCTCTTTGAGAACAATTGCCCACTGTCGAATCGGATTGCATACAACAACGTCATCTAAATCGGAAAGCGACGTTGCTTTCCTCCTAGCAAATCGTCATGGATGCCATGGTAGCCAAAGCCCCGGCGGATCCCGAGACTGTTGCTGAAGACGTCGAACACCTCAGCCTGTCTCCATTTGGTCCTGCGAGAGCTTCAATAACCGAGCATCCTCTCAGCAGCGATGAAGTGCAGAAAATGACGGATTATTTCCATGCCTCTCTCTACATGTGTCTGGGCATGATCTACCTCCGGAGAAACCCTCTTCTCCGTGAGCCACTCACACTTGACCATATCAAACGACGATTGTTGGGACATTGGGGCTCGGATGCTGGACAGAGTTTCACATATATACACATGGTAAGAGAGGACGTATGCTGTGATAGTAAGGCTCATGTACTGATCAAACTACTCCAAACAGAACCGTCTCATCAAGAAATATGACTTGGACGCCATCTTCATCTCTGGTCCTGGTCATGGTGCTCCAGCCGTCTTGTCAAACAGCTACCTTGAAGGAGTCTACTCGGAAGTATATCCTCAAAAGGGTGAGAATGAGGAGGGCTTGAGGCGTTTCTTCAAATACTTCTCTTTTCCGGGCGGAATTGGATCCCATGCTACGCCCGAGACGCCTGGTAGTTTACACGAAGGTGGTGAGCTTGGCTACTCCATCTCCCATGCTTTTGGTGCAGTATTCGATCACCCGGATTTAATTGCTCTTACAATGGTCGGGGATGGCGAGTCTGAGACTGGTCCTCTGGCTACAAGCTGGCACTCGACTAAGTTCCTCAACCCAATTACAGACGGTGCTGTTTTGCCTGTGCTACATCTGAATGGCTACAAGGTACGTTTCTGGATGCATATGCGCAACGACTAGCTAATTCTTTAAAGATCAACAACCCCACTGTCCTTGCTCGTGTCAGCCACAAGGAACTTGAGTCATTGTTTGTCGGTTATGGATGGACTCCTTATTTTGTTGAGGGTAGTGACATTCCCTCTATGCACCAGGCCATGGCGGCCACTATGGAACGCTGTGTGAACAAGATTCGTGAGTATCAGAAACAGGCGAGGGACTCAGGCAAGGCCTTCAGACCTCGTTGGCCGATGATTGTGCTCCGCACGCCCAAGGGATGGACCGGCCCCAGCAAGGTTGACGGTGACCATTTCTTGGAAGGCTTCTGGCGCTCGCACCAGGTTCCTCTTACAAACGTGTTAAAGGATAAATCTCAACTCAAGCTGCTCGAGGAATGGATGCGTAGCTACGAGCCTGACAAGCACTTCGACAAGGAAGGCAAGCTTATTCCTGAGCTCAGGGAGTTGGCGCCAACCGGAAACAGGAGGATGAGTGCCAACCCTGTTACGAATGGTGGCGCAGTCCGCAACAAGCTTCACATGCCCGATTTCCGCGAATACTCTGTCGAAGTCACAAAGGGTGGTGTTGCAAAGGTGGGCAGTATGAGCAACTTTGCCAACTTCCTCCGCGACGTCATCAAGCTGAACCCAAAGGACTTCCGCCTGTTTGGTCCTGATGAAACACAATCTAACAAGCTTAGCAACGTGTATGAAGCAGGGCCGAAAGTATGGATGGGCGAGTACCTCGACATGGACAAGGATGGTGGTAACTTGGCCCATGAAGGCCGGGTAATGGAGATGCTATCTGAGCACACTGTAGAGGTAAAGCTTCAAGTCAAGATTGGAGTCAATTTACTAACGCTATTCAGGGCTGGCTCGAAGGTTATGTCCTCTCTGGAAGGCATGGACTGCTCAACAGCTACGAGCCCTTCATTCACATTATCGACTCCATGGTCAACCAGCACTGCAAGTGGATTGAAAAGTGTCTCGAGGTCGAATGGAGGCAGAAGATTGCATCCCTCAACATTCTCCTCACATCAACCGTCTGGCGTCAAGACCACAACGGATTCACTCACCAAGACCCCGGTTTCCTTGACGTGGTAGCAAACAAGAGCCCTGAAGTCGTCCGCATCTACCTCCCACCAGACGCCAACTGCCTCCTCTCAACAATGGACCACTGCCTCCGCAGCGAAAATTACGTCAACGTCGTCGTCGCCGACAAGCAAGAGCACCTCCAATACCTCACCATGGACCAGGCCATCGCTCACTGCACAAAAGGCGTCGGCATCTGGGAATGGGCCAGCAACGACAAAGGCGAAGAACCAGACATCGTTATGGCCTCCTGCGGCGACGTCTCAACCCACGAGTCCCTCGCCGCCACCGCCCTCCTCCGCACACACCTCCCCGACCTCAAAATCCGCTTCGTCAACGTCGTCGACCTCTTCAAACTCATTGACGACTCTCAGCACCCCCACGGCCTCAAAGCTCACGAGTACAAGGCCATCTTCACAGACAACGTCCCTTGCATCTTCAACTTCCATTCGTACCCTTGGCTCGTTCACCGCCTTACGTACGGCCGCAAAGGGCAGCAGAACTTGCTTGTGCGTGGGTATAGGGAGAAGGGAAATATCGATACGCCGCTTGAGCTTGCGATTCGCAATGGAACGGACCGCTATAGCTTGGCGATTGATGCGCTAGATAACATTCCTAGTCTGGGTAATAGGGGGGCGGCGACGCGCGAGAAGCTACTGGATGAGCAGATCAAGGCGAAGAATTATGCGTTTCATGAGGGAGTGGATCCGAAGGAGACAGAGGAGTGGGTTTGGCCTTTTTAGATGGGAGAGGGATATGTAGTGTTTCTTGCTGTGTACCTTAATGACTAAATTTCTAATTGATCCTACGAAATCGTGTTGTGCGTACATTCCTATGACGCACGTGAGCAAAAGAAGAAGAAGAAGAAGAAGAAGAAGAAGGTAGTATTGATCCAACACAAAGGTATGATCAGTCAAACGATTTGATTATCAGACCTCTACATGAGGTACACATCTATCTATGCAAAAAAGGGGGCAGATCTACGTTGCCATACCCAAAAACCCAAACACCACTTACAAATGCAACTTACTAGTGGGAACGCCCTTTTTTGATGGCCAAATAAGCCACTGTAGTGAGACAAAAAACAACGCCATGGCACCATGCTATGGAGCGAATGAAAAAAAAAGGACGAGTAGCAAGAAAATGCAAGCTCTCAAAAAAGATGCCAACAGAACAAACGATGAAGTAAAGAATACCTACCCACAAGACTTTCTTTCTCTAAAAGTCATACCCAACATCAAGCCTCAATCCAAGTCTCATGTTATCCACCGTCTTCCCACCAACACCCTTGAGCATGGCCAGCGACTCGAGATCCAAGATTTCAGCATCATCCATTTCGACAAGGCAGTTCACAATGCTATCCGCTTTCTTTGCGCCTACGCCCTTGAGTCCCTTGATCTGGTTGACGTCGCGAGAGTTGATAATCTTGAGGAGGTGGGATGTCCGGGGGGTGTGGATGACGGGTAGCTTGGAGCGGGGAAGGGAATCAGTCGAGGCAGAGGCAGAGGCGGAAGTAGAAGTGGAAGCAGAGGCGGCGGTGTCACGGAAGACGGGAAGTTTCCTTGTGGTCTTCGTGGGCTTGCGGGCTGCGGCTTTGGTTTTGAACTGGAAGCTGTCGTCGGAGGCGTCGGAGTCGGAGTCGTGGTCGGAGGGTGGGGCAGGGGCATATTCTTCGTCGTCTTTGTCTTCTTCGGGTTCGTCGCGGTAGACCATTTTTGGCTTTGGGATTGACTTTCCTGCTTTCAAGGGGCCCATGAGGTTTGAGACGCGGGCGGGGGATGGGTGAGAGGGTAGGCTGATGGGCATGGAGGCGTGCCTTTGAGTCTCTTCCCTCTTTGCGCGAATCTTCTCTTCCAGCTTCTTCATCTTGGCTTCTAGCTTGGCGTTGTCCGGGAAGTAAGGTTGTGCAAGACGGTACATTCTTAGTGCACTTGCGTCCTCACCACGGATGTGATGTTGCTTTGCCATCAACAAGAACTGCAAGCCCTGTGACTTTCCATCCTCCTCTTTGACTTCAAGACGTTGCTCAAGTTCATCCAACCGTTTCTGCAACTCGGCTGATAGGGCTGGGGCAGAATTGCTAGCGTCTTGCAATGCCTTCTCCGCAAGCCTCTCGTCGACCTTTTGGGCGATGAGAGCTTCAATTGTCTCCTTGGTTAGTGCTAGCTCACTTTGTTGTATCCGTGAAGCATTGTCCGCTGCACGGAAGGTCTTGGTTGGCCGGGACGCAAAAGTG